CAACACAGTCTCACTCCGAGAGCGTCAATAAGTGACATTTTGTCAGTGCCCTTTGGCGTCAATACAAAACGAAAGTAGTGCCCATTTGCGTCCAGCAATGACGCGAAGTGTTTTTCATTCATCTTAAGGAGAGTCCCACAGCGGTGAAATGTGACGAGTTGCGCTGTTCTTTTTGAGACAATATTTTCAATATTTGTTCGAAATATTATTCATATTTTCTAGTCCTGGTTTAAGACCTGGTTTAAACCTGGATTTAGTTCTGATTTTAGTCCTGGTTATAGTTCCGGTTTAGAGCCACCCGCGCACGGAAGGCCGCCACGCGCGGGACGAAACGCAGCGCGGGTGGACGAACGGGAGGTGAGCGCACGGGAGCGCACGGGAGTGCACGGGAAGCGGGCGTACGGGAGCGCACGTGAGCGCTCGGGAGGCGGACGCACAGGGATGGCGGATGCGCACGGGAGGCGGACGCACGGGAAGAGGCGCTGCGCTGGAGGCACGGGAGGCGGCGCACGGGAGGCGGGCGCACGGGAAGCGGGCGCGCACGGATGGCGGTCGAGCACGGGAGGCCGGTGCACGGGAAGCGGGCGCGCACGGATGGCGGTCGCGTACGGGAGGCCGGTGCACGGGAAGAGGCGCTGCGCTGGAGGCGGGCGTACGGGAGGCGGCCGCGCACGAGCGCGTATAGCAGTAGGACTCTTATCTCTGCCGCTATTAGACAGCGACCGGAGAATCATTCTAGAATTTGTAGGCCATTGATTCTGACTGACTATAAGAAGTTACCATGGTTACCACTGACACGGAACTCTCAAAACATCGAATAACTTGACGCTTTTAAAGTGGCTTGTGCAGTGTTTGTAAAAGTAGCCTATTTCTCATGATATTGTTTTGTCAGTAAATTCTATTAGTGGTGATTTAAAAACAAAACTAAACAACTAAAACATGATTCCCCCCCCCCCCCCATACACCCCCGCAAATGACGTTTATTACAGCGTCCACGACTCTCCTATCCCAGTTCCCGCCATCTCCCACCAGCATTTGCTGTTTTCCGTTTGTGGAGGTAAGTAGCACATTATTTCAGAATCTTAAGAATGCATTAAAACGCGATATATTATTAATTTATGAAAAGCCATAAAGCCCCAAATGACTCGAGATGGGTAGTATGATTACAGCAGGTAGAATTTTACAATGTTTCAAATGGAGGACAAACATAAATCTGACAGATTCAGTGGTTTTGGAAAGAATTTCCATACGTATTAATAGGACATTTTTGATTATCTTTAGGCTATTTGTTTGGTCGACAAGAGATATAAATTCTTCCATACTTGTAGACAAATCTTCTTCCATAAAGAATTTATCGACAACTATCAGATTTAGATTCAATTTTTTTGTCATTACACTTGCATAAATACAAGGTCATGTATAAACACAAGGTAAGAAAATGTGTTTTAGCATCTCATCAGAAGTGCAAGGAACAGCAAGTACGATATATACAAAATGTGGAATATATACAGAATAGAATAGAAAGAAAGAATAAGAAAGAAAGACCAAAGCTTAAAGGCGAACAACAGTGATTTCATAGGGCCAGTAATTACAGAGATATGAACCATAAATGAGGTCAACAAACTACAATTTGACAACTAAACAGCAAATACCACCATAGGATTTGAACCAACAGCTTCATTTTAAACTAAAGGATTAGAATTAGGTATGTCATAGAAAATTATCATGGCACATAAACTCCACCCGTTTATAAAGACTTAATTCTTTGAAATTGATGTAATGCAGTGATTACCAATGTATACCATTCTTACCTGTGCAATCTATGTTTTTTTTTTCCACCCGGTCCAGCACATCATCAGATCTGTATTTACTAGGTATACATTAGAGCACAACACAAAGGCACTTTTAAGAGCCCATCTGTCTTTCTGTCTGTTCTGTTTTTCTATTGTATTGTGGTTCTTTCTCTGTGTCTTGTTCCTGTCGCTTGCATATCTCTGTCTTTGTCACTGTCTTTGTCAATTTGTTGTCTGTTCTGATCATCATGAGCGATTCGGAGCTGCAGGAGTTACTGCAGAGTGAGGTCAGTGATGATCTTAAGGGGGTTGATGAGTTCCTCTGCAAGCTGCAGAAGGAGGCTACTGCTGTTCAAGAGGCTGCAGTGCCAATGGTGAGGTGGAAGAAAAGGAGAAATGATGGAAGCCTTATCTGTACAAAGCCACGATCAAATAGGAAGCAACCTTCTAAGGGTGAGTGGTGTTCTTGCACAAAAAAATGTACATATTTTCGCATCAGTGCTCAGATTTTATCTTGGCATGTGTCTATATATGGTACATGCATTTATATTTCTAATTGTACACCTTGTTTTAATTTTGTTGAAGTGTGATATTTCTTAACTTCTATAATACTTCTCTTATTTTTTGGCAATGATCAGTACAGTGAATGATATTCTCTGTGTTACAGCTGATTGTAGCCGCCTGCCTCAAGCAGATGCTGCTCCGAACCTGACTGAGGTGGTCTTCACTCCTGAGACAATTGGTATGATATTTGTCAGTCATTAGCTTAATGTAACATATTATTGTTTTCTCATGGCATGGTTTTGAACAATACTTAATCCTCCTTATTTATTATCCTTATTTATTTCTACTTTTCTTTGTACCTCTTTCATCAGAGGAGTTTATGCTGGAGCTCCAGCATGCCTTAAGTGATACTACAGTGGATCAGTTGGAGGAAGAACTACCTCATCAAACTTCTCCTCAAGCATCGTCAGAGTGGAGCAAACGAAAGTGCATGTTTGCTGAGAACTGGAGGACAGAAAGACCACGCCTGGTAAACACCATTATGGCAAATCAACACGTGGTTCCCAAGACTTGCCAGGAATGTTGGAGCAATGCTGCTGTCGTGCGGTGCCGTGACTGCCGTCCACACCCTTTCCTCTGCTCTGAGTGTGACCGCAGAATGCACGATAGATATCCCCTTCACAACAGGGAGGCCACTATTGCTGGCTTTTATCAGCCATTGCCCCCAACCAAAGTCATCTGCAGTGGGGCTCTTTGCCATTATGGTAAGCTTGTAAAAAGTGCTAAACCATATACCTATATACAATTTGCAGCCCATTCTGGATTTGTCCTTGATTTGTCCATAATCTGGGTGCTAATGGTTTTTTACATTTTAGATCGTCTTGTGCCTCTGGAGATACCTGCTACAATCTGTGGTTGTGCCAGCTCCCTAAAGCTCAAACCAGGAAAGCGTGTGGCTGTGGTTACAATGAATGGTAGGAATCAGTGTATTGTTGAAAAAAACTTACACTACAGATATTACACATGTTTTTATAACTTAATTTTGTATCCTACAAAATAATGCTACTGAACAGAAAGATTGTTGGGACTTATAGGATAGGATGTAAAACTAATACAAATTATAACACAAGTAGTAACTTGAAAAATATTTGTATATATAAAAAAACATGTTTTATTTTTTAAGGACGACATGATTTGAGTATTCCAGAGCTCGTGTGTGACAGTTGCTGCACTACATGGTCTGCAGGAATTGATACAATTCTGGCCAGTGACTTCTGGCCAGCAACACTCAACTTTGCCACTCTCTTTGCCACTGATGTGTTTGCAACTTATGAAGACATGAAAATGGCAGCACCTGGCTTGTCTTGTCAGGCATTCTTAAGAATGCTTGATCTTAGAACTGTCCGTTTTGGCCGTGTACGTAATTTATTGTTTATCTCTCTCTCGCTCTCTCTCTCTCTCTATCTCTCTCTATCTCTCTATCTCTCTATACACAGTATGTGTGTGTTTATGTGTGTGTGTGTGTGTGTCTTTTTTTCATTAGATGGGGAAGATCTCTGCTGACACCTTCCTGAGAAGTTTTTTTGAGTGGGAGGCTGTTAAGTATGGGCTGGATAGGTGCTGTAAAGAGGAGCCCTTTACTTGTCCGGCCTGTAGTCCAGATATGCTTGCAGTTTCTGTTGATGGAAACCGTAAGCATTACCGCTTTAAGAGTGCATCAAGGTAATAATAAATAATTGTAAACTGTACATACAGATAAAATATCACAATTCTTCTTATATGAATTCAAAAATGTTTTCAGCTAATTTATTACTGTTCCTATATTCTTTTTAGATCTGAAGAACCAGCAATATTTGATGGAGTTTTCCTTGCAAATGATAATGATGTTGCAAATTTTGTGAACTATGTTCACAGCAAGGCCAAACATGTATTGTTGCTAATTTTAATCTATAATTTAAAAAAATCTTCAAATATCAAAATAATTTGCATTTCTCATTTTTACTAGGTGTCTGGAAGAGGTATTTGTGGTGGCGAGTGGTCGGCAGCCAGAGAAACCTCCCGCAAATCTGCCAGCAAGCTGGATGAAGAGGGACTTGAGCTAGCAGTGTGCCGGCATGGAGTTCTTCTCTGTGCACTTAACATGTACAGGGGGGAAATTTTTGCTTATCCTTTGTACCTCCAACAAAAGGTCACAAACAGCACCTTTTTTTGCATGGATGTTACCTGCAAATATTGGCCATACCTAAAAAAGGTCTCAAAGCATTTGTCCAGAGCTCCAGGCACTGCTCAGCATGAAACCTTTTCTTTCCGTGTTCCATGCAAAAGCTCATGACTTCAAATGTGAAGTAAGTGAAGTTACAGAATGAATCCTTGTTAATCCCTCCTGTAACCTTCTTGTTTTCAAACAGGTTAAATGGAGTGGAGCATATCAGGAGGGGGCTGGCTTAACCCTTGGAGAGGAGGTAGAACAAGTTAATGCCTTCCTCTCTCGCATTGCTGTGACAACAAAGCATATGTCAAAAGCAGGTGACATAACACATACTTTAAGAGTGATTCATTAACAGTGTATATAAAACTCCCAATGAGTGACGAGCTTCCTTTCTGTTATAGGGCGTTCTGACATGTTAACCCTTATGGCCATACGGTGGAATGATCACAAGTTTGAAAACTTGGCTGGATCCTTGTCCCGCAGATATCTGAAAGTAATAACTATTATATATAGTGTGTTAATGACATACCATATCAAGAACATATCAATTTTTGATTGATTGCATTTTTACTTACAGACCATAAAGATGTTGGATGAAAAAGAAAAAATGCTGGAATCCACAAAAAATGAACTTTTTCTCACTGAGGTCCAGTTAAAGGACTGGGTAGCTGATGTGAAGGAGTGGGCTGAATGTGAGAACTGTCATACATATAAAATAATACATGTTCTGTCTAAATTGAGATTATGATGTATATTCATGTTACTATGGAATTTTTTTCTCTATAGCAGCAACCACTCCAACAGATGAAGATGCCTTGGAAAGTAAAATTGAGGGACTGGTAGCAAGCATCAAGAGACGCACGCAGCATTTGTACAAAGACACAGACGGCTGCAAAGCTCGAGCCAGGGTCCGACGCAAACTCAGAGAGGAGAAGCGGATGTTATGTACTTTGATTGAAGAGTATAACACCCTGAGCTCAAGCGCAGAGGCTCTGTGCATTGACACAATCCTCAGAGAAGATGTCGCATGGCCATGGCAGGACAACCAAAATGGTACATTGTTCACAATTTAGTCACTTGTTTCCATAGTTTTTCCCATAATACATTTACTTCAGTTAGCCTGGAGACATAATAATATTCTTTCTATTTAGATACAAATTTAGACACACACATCCATTCATACATATTCACACCCACACACGATTGGATGTGTATAGTAAGCACTTGTTATTAACTATTAATTGATTTATAATTTTACAATTAACCATCATGAAAAAAGTATTTAGCTTTCAATTTGGAGGAAGTGCTGCTTCTACATTTTACTTGATTTTATCACATACTTTATGCATTTTAATCAGTAATGATGATTACCTTTATGCTATTCAGATCATGTTACCATTAGGACAAAGAGACAAGTCTTTGACCAAGTCATGGGAGTGAGAAGACTGCAAGAAGAGAAGAAGATTCTTGTTGCTGAGATGGCTAAGCACTGGAATTATCTCCTAGCTCGTTTTGGTTGGCTGAAAGAGCATTCTGACCGGGTCTCTAAACTTCCCCTCCAGAGTATGTAGTTTTATGAAAAAATATAATGATTAATTATTAGTAACTGTTTTAAATTTCTTTTACTTTTAGATACTCAGGATGTACTCACTGATGAGGCCCTGAATGGCATGCAGGCCCTATTAAAAAAAAAGTTGTGGAACATTCGGCAAAAAATACAGGATGTGAGGCACTGCTACTTGAGCATTTTTACTGGAGCAGAGTGTGACTTCCTACAGATGACTTCTGATTTTCCAGACAGTGACTTGGACAGTGACTTGGACAGTGATTTGGACAGTGATTTGGACGACATGTACTAAAATGTAGTTCTATAGACCTTAAATTGTTTAATTCATTTATCGGTCGAGGGTGTCCTCAGTCCACCAAAGTTTGTACTAGTTGACTAATTTTTCTATTTGTATTATAAGGATTTATATGGATCAGATCAGAAAGGAGAAGGCTTAGAGTGAGTTAGTTTTGGATTTAGGAATCAACTGTGAGTTAAAAGGGCCCATATTTACGCTGTTTTCTGGCCTATGTTTTATGTTACATGATTTTATAACTTTAGTATGTGTATGGGGTTTCTACAGTTTTCATGTTTTTGTCCTTATTTTGGTTAATCACCTCATCTGTGGTTTAGGGCTGATACATGTAGTTACTATGATTAACTGAGATTCAGGAGCAGGACCACGCCTCAGCCGCCCTCTCCTCTCACCAGCGAACCACAACTCATCTCGACTACGCCTCTAATTTCCCAGAAGCCTTTATGTAGCAGCCTTTCCCATCATCCCAGTTTGTCTGGGCTAACTCGACCCCACCCTCCCATCCCCTATTTTGTCTTTCAGTCATAAGACCCCTACAAGGGGGGTCCCGTTCCGACTGGGCCAATTGTAGATTGAGACGGAGCCCCCACCTAGAGTCTCAACCCAGCCATCTCTGCCCTGCTTTGTACATTATCAATAAACTTCTTCGCACTATGTTCTTGGCGTGGTCCTAGCTAGTGAATGTCTGGGTGTGTAAAGTGACAGCCATGCTGTTTTAGAGCAGCAGAAACATTAGTATTGTGTTGTATTCACACCTTTTATGTTGAATAACTATACATTGACAGCCCACAGACTGAAAATAAAATCAATATTGTACATCTTTGTCAGCAAAATTATTTTGCTGTGTTACTTTCTTCTCCAATAAAACACTCAGCTAACTGAAAAATATGAATTGATCCTTTGTATTCATTCCTATAGTAGATTTTTGAAAATGTTACATTTGATATTGTCATGTTACAATATATTCCTACAATAATGATAACATTAATCAACATATATGTTATGTGTATATTTTTTGTCTATGTATATGTCAGCATTAGGACAACAGTGAAAGTGCCTACATTATATATCCATGGTATTCAGAATGAGGAAAAGCAAAGACCATAGCAAGAAGGAAGGGTATATATGAGCCGTCTGTCCTAAGCACCAGTAAGAGACAGAGAATATATAAAAAGCACACAGATTCCACCAAGCATTCATGCAGGCATGCTACTTATAAACTATAAATGTATTATTTCCATGTGAAGGAGAGTACAAAATGCATATAAGCACAATATTGATTTGTTATTATTATTATAGTGGTGTACACATTAGTGCCTAGCCCATAATCCAGACAAAACAATAATATGTCCATGGAAACAAGCAGGTGGTGTTGCCTATAGCAGAAATGTTCCATAGTAGTGCAGTGCACCCATAAATCCTTTGAGTGAGAGGGGTTAGCCAACACAATGTGATACAATGTTTCATTGTAAATGGTAAAATTTACAATGAATGCAAGTATGTTTCATTTTGGTTTTGTTCTGTTTACAATAGGCCGACATGGAAAAAAGATCCAGCAGCCATGATATACCGGGTACTCTTGAACACTGTACTGAAAAGAGGAATCTATAAATGAACTAGTAGGACACATGCAGAGACCAGATCCAGCTTGATGTGCATGGGCTGGAGCATGTGTATAAAAACCATCATCATGATCAGCACAGGGAAGAATATTCAACAACAATTCTTCCTCACATTAAAAGAAAGATAAAAAAGTTATTTCTTGGGTATCATGGCTTCCATCATCCATAATACTTACATAGGGTTAAATTCTTACTGGAGACATGGCACTGCCTGAACCTGTTTAACACAAGTCTGAAAACAGAAACAACAGAATTATACGCACCTTTTGCAATTATCATTCATGCTCAAACACATTTACATTATGACTGTATGTCCGGTCGTTAATGTATTTGTTCAATGGCCTTCTCATTGAGTAATGCACTTAGTTAAGAGGAAATGAACACAAGAACTTCTCTATTTCCACTGGACATGTCCACTCAGTGTATGATCTATTCCTTTCATTTTTTTTTGTAAGTTTAGTCAAATTGTAGTTCTTTAGGTATATTGGTATATCATGAACTTCCAAGATCATGTGATAAGTCCATCTTCCACATATTGTAAAAGGAAAAGGAATCAGAAGTGCAATGTTATATATATATAGGGTGACCAAGGTGCTCCCTTAGTCACACTGTAGAAGATAAAACAGAGCTGCACAGGTGCATCTAAGCCTAAGGAACATGTGTGTGAGAGCCTCTGGGCATGTCTATGTCACATCAGGAGGAGGGGTCTGTGTAAGATCATACTGTCACCTGTGTCCCACACATCAGAAAAAAGGCCTATGAGCCCATATTTAGACAGATGCTGCTGTGACATGAGCCCTAATAAGAGACAGAGGATTTATGAATGCTATAATAATGTATTTAAAAGAAATATTCACCAAAATATGTAGATAAACTTTTTTTTCTGCAAGATGATGTTGAAAGCATCTGTAAAACGTAGTGTCTATTTTGCATAGTGTATTTTGCTCCACTGAGAAGAAAATGATTATGGTGCATTAAATAATGGAAACAATAATTCAATCCATTAAAAGTAACTTTATTAGCCAAGCTTGTTGTTTTGCTTAACCACAAAAAGAACTCAACAATGAATCACATGTAATCACTAATGTAAACAGTTTGTACATACGCCTACACAATTTAAATGCCACTGGCTAAATAGCAGTTGTAGCCCTATAAGCTATTACTACTTCATAGCATCTGATGTAGGCTACTATTGTTGCCTCCAATTATTTGTTTACTAGTTGACAACTTTAAACAAAGTCAGAATATTCCTTTCAAAGAGAAGTGTGCATCAAAGGCAGTGTCGAGGAGGTGGGGGCAGTCTTTTAAAGGTGATAAGTGTGTCCGAATTTCTAAAATGGAGGGGGAGAGAGTAGGAGGAGCAATGGCGAAGGTGCTTTGTCTAAACTGTGTGAATGAGGAGGTTTCAGTCAGATGGAGAGCCCGTGGGGTTGTTGTAGAACCTGTGTGATGTGGTGTGGTGTTTGGTTCAGGTGTGGGACCTAACTGACTCAGGGTGCATCCGAGTTTCAAAGGGGTGCAAACAATACTCTTCCATTTTATCTGTCATTATTTTACATACAAACACTTTTAAATGAGATTGCTCAGCATCCTTTTGTACCCCTGTAGACGTGGGCCTGGTGATTAGTCAGACAGCCTCTTTATTTTTCCTGTTCACTCCTTCACCTTTTCAGATATAATTTCTTCAGAGATGATCCTTTATTGCACTTATACAGTTCTTGCCACAGTGATCCCAAGGGTGTTGTCTCTGAACAGAAAACCCATTCATTTTTTTTGCCCTGACTGGTTGCTCTATAAAATAAAAAATGCAATCACATCATAGATTGCAATATATTTTAAATAACCTCTTAGCAAACACCTGCCACACTTTCTTTTGGTGGGGGGAATAACCAGAAGTCCTCAGCGTAGTCTGTTAAGGGAAAAAGACAGAGCATTGTGTTAGTACAGTGAAAAATGTATGCAAACATGAAAGTAGTAACATACTGGGCCAATGCCAATGGTCAAAATTTTCAGTTTTTCGGTATACAGTTAATATGCCTAAACTGAACTAAATTATATATTAGGTAGTGAAATTTATTAATTTATTAATCTCAATGCTATTTATTATTTTGTTATTGCTATGTACAGTGCAGATTTGGCCGCTGATTAAATGTTTGTTTTTGGGAATAAATGTTTTTATTACTTAATTAATACATATAAATTATTATAATTATATATTTTTTTTTTCACACAAAAAAATAGCAAGAGCAATATTTGATTAAGGATGTTTAATGTTCTTCGTAACAAACAAAACATTAGCTGGTACACTGTACCACACTGATCACCTGTTTAGACGGGAGCAGGTAGCACATTCACATCAGTTGAAGCCTTCATTGCCGAATACAGCCTCAAACTGCAATGACAAACAGAGACAGGAGCAATGTCATAAATGTAAATTATGCAAGCATTATAATGCAATGCGTCCTCTTCACCTTTGGTGTGGATGAAGATGTCTTGCTGAATCATTTGATGAATCTTTCCGCCTTGAAAATCCCTCTCAAAATCTGAAGATGTTTCTTCAGTCACAAGATAGCTGCTGACATGTGACACCATAGAATAAAGGCAGAAAATAAATAGAGGAACTTCGGTTCACATGTACATGTAACGGTGCACAGCACCACAGAGAGCAGTCACTTGAGACATTGCCTCTGTTGAGCACTTGGGATTTCTTAAAGAACTCAAGGTTGGCAAATTGCTGAAATCTGATCTCCTCTGTCCTACATTTGGATAGAACATCTTGGGTGGCGCATTACTAAAAAGAGAATACAGTTGGTTGTTATAAATAAATATTCACACTGTTAATGACAAATATTTTCTCTGCTATGTTGCAGCACCATTGAAAAAAGTCACAATAACTTAGACTGAGGGTTGACCTACATTTGTCTATTTTAATAGTCATTTATATTGATTGTAATTACATGATGCTTCTCATTCCCATGCTTATCTTGCTTGCAGCACTGTGATTTACCCATTGTTGGACAAATAAGGGTCTGACAGTCTGACCTCACCTCCGGTGTCTTTTAAGCAGGCCATGTTTATGAAAAGAGATGCACAAATTATCATTATATTCCATAGCTGTTCTATCTCTGAGTACACACACTGCTTACCTTCTCATTGTGCTTCCCAAGAAAGCATCACCAAATATACAGCAGTCTACCACGGAGTTCATTCATTCTTTTTGCTTACTGACCCTGGTTTGTCTGTTCTTTGTCTGTATGTCAAAATAAATAAATACAATTAGACAGTCGCATCTGGACAAATATAAATATAATACAGATAGCAAACATACATTTTTAAAAAGGTCAAGATACCTGCTGCCCATTTATGCCTGACATCAAGCAGATACTATGCTCTTGCATTCATCCTGAGTGCTCTGTTTAGAAATAAGTGATCCCTGGGTTTAATCTGACCATAGTGAAACAGTTATGCTAAAACATGTTGTATTGCACGTCACTGGCAGTGGTCAACCATTTCAATAGTTCAGAAAAAGGCTAAAAATATGGATACATGGGTGTGTAATGAAATAAAACAGCAAGGAACACAAATATGCCTTGATATCTCACAAGCAAATGACAGCCTTGAGCAGGCAACTTCAGATTGTTGTACCAAGGGATGTTACAGCGGCTTAACTTGCCATCATTCCATCTTGAGTACAGATGAAGACTCAAACAACATATTTTAAAGCTGATGACTGGTTACGGTAAGATTAATGTAATGGCCAAGCCAAATTCATTACTTTGTCTAGATTTGTCTGTCATCGTCATACTTGACAATGATTGGGAATAGACATACTGTATTACTGGCATTGCATAGGGAAGTGTGCTTATTTTTGGTGAGAAATGTTACGTTAAAATCTGACTGTAGTATTACTAAGTACATTCATGCTGTTGCTGCAAAACATAATTAATAAAAGTGTAATTTCTAAAGCAACATACTTACATTTAGCACAGGTCTGTCAACTTCTCTTTCTTTATCATCATGTCGAGAGGACACCACAAGCCAGACACAGTGTACAGAAGAGGCTATAACATCAGGGTCTCCTGGTGGGTTCTCTGAATGAAGGATCATCAGAGTTTCATCAGTGGATTCATTTTTTTTTGGACCTGTGAAAAGCATTTTTTTAAAAATAGCTCTTAGAGTAAAGCAAATACGCAAAACATCTGTGTAAGTTTTACCTTATTCAGAGGATTAGCCTGTTGACAGGACCATAGTAGTTCACTGCCCCTGAGAGGTGAAAATCTGACTCGCAAAATATAACATACAGACTTGCTCTATGCCCACTAATGTTAACACACTAACAATTACTGCCCCTGCCACCTCCATTAAATACTGTTGATCAGTAACGGTCTTCTACAGAACAGCAATAGGTTGTAGTCAAGTTAAGATTTGATAACTTGAAATATAGGTACTATATGAAATGTTCTTGCTTAACTGCAGTGTTGTTGTCTAGGATGGGAGCCTCTTCAATCTTTTGTCTGAGGGGTGTGAGCAGTTATACGCTGGAGTGGAATATCTATAACTTCTCTAAACCTAAACAAGGATTTTGAAAAAATGTCAGACTACAAAGAATAAAACAGGTCTAAAACTGTATATGGTAAGCATGACTGATTTGACTGTATATCCGCAAAAAACAACAACAACAATACAGAGAAAATGTTTTTTTAATTGTTAAACGAACTGCAACTACTACTAGAATGATGACAACAACCACGACGACTACTACTACTACTACTACTACTATTTTACAATTACAACAAATACTGTGCTGCTGGTTCCCAGGTGTCATCCCACACCTTACCACTGCAAACAGTATAAGACAAAAAAAAAAAAAAAAAATCAGCTTTTTTAAAAAAAAATTTTAACTAAGTTCTAATTAAGTTACAATTATTTGATAGCACATCACTTACCACTCAGGACATGGTGACCATCGGATTTTGACTTCTGCTTTTCCCTAAAAAAATTGCATTATAATAATACTGAATGCATTTTAAACCATGAAGAAAAATAGCATAATCTTGCTTCATAATACACATCATAAACCTGGCCTTATAATGTTACTGGAGATATATCCTGATATAAATGGGGATGATATAAAAGTTGAAAGAGTGTGATATAGTGCAGCCTCTCAGTTGTGAGGGGAGGCAGACAGATGTCTTAGCTAAGTCTAGAGTTATTTAAAGCAACAACACGTAATTTTCTGGAATCCATGGAAATAGAAAGTTAATAATATTACAGTCAAAGAAACAACATTTCCATGGAAAAAAAGCAGGAGATTCTCCTCCAGGCAAAGTAAGACTCAGTAAGATTTTGAATGTTTTACAGTGTAATAAAATATATGTAAAGGCACTGCAGAGAAACCTTCAACATACTGCTCAACTGGTCTGCAAAACTGTCATATACTTACATTTGAAACTCTTTTGTCCACTACTTTTTCATAGCGAAACACCTTTTGATATTTGTGTCTTTTACATTCTACAAAAATAGATAAAGATAATAATGAGCACTGTACCCATATAAAAACAAAAACTGTTCAACAACTAACCTTTCACATGAGGTCTCTTTTTTGCCTGTTTTTGAGTTTTCTGGGTGGAGAAAGAGGGTGGAGATGAAGGAGTGCAGGCTGAAAACACAACAAAACCAGAATGAGAAAAGGAAGACTAGCGAGATGAGAAAGGCAAGAGGATGGAAGACCAGTAGATGGTGGAGCAGAAGACAGCGGAGCAGTGGATCTTAAAGCAGAGGACAGCGGAGCAGTGGATTTTGGAGCAGGGGATCGTGGAGCAGTGGATCTTGCAGCAGAGGACAGCAGAGCAGTGGCTCTCGGAGCAGTGGATCTTGGAGCAGTGGATCTTGGAGCAGGGGATGGTGGAGGAGTGGCCAGCGGAGCAGTGGATGGTGGAGCTGAAGATGGGGGAGCAGGGGATGGAGGGACCATAGGGTCAACAGGGACAAGATGAAGTATAATAGTTTCTGCTGCTTTCTCAGGGGGCATTGAGGCAGGGGTTGAAGGGAATGGTAGAGCAGGGGATGGTGGAGCGGTGGATGGCAGAGAAGTGGACGGTGGAGCAGTGGATGGCAGAGAAGTGGACGGTGGAGCAGTGGATGGCAGAGAAGTGGACGGTGGAGCAGTGGATGGCAGGGAAGTGGACGGTGGAGCAGTGGATGGCAGGGAAGTGGACGGTGGAGCAGCAGTGGATGGCAGGGAAGTGGACGGTGGAGCAGTGGATGGCAGTGGATGGCAGTGGAAGTGGACGGGGATGGATGGAGCAGTGGATGGTGGATGGAGGTGGATGGCTGTGGTACAACTAGTCCTGCAAACATTGGAATACAATTACAAACTCAAACACACACAGGTACAATGCATATTGTTTTCATAAGTGTTCTATTAAAGCAAAAAATATGTCTAATGATCTCCATTGGGTTTTATAATCAGATAAAAGCAAAGTGTCTGTTCCTGGCACTAATGCAGCACTCAGCACCAGACTGAACACCAGCTTGAGCTCAAAGTAGCAGCTCTGCCTACAAAAGCCCCTTTGGACAAAGATCTTTCTTTCTTCAGACTCTGGAATGATGCTGTTATGATTGGGGCTATTGTGTGGTATGATGGTTGTATCTTTGTGTAGTTTTTGGTAGGTCTGTTTTTTCTATACACCCTTATGTAATGCTAAAATTTCTACAATTATAAAACACAAATCTTACTTTTAAGCAGGTGCTCATAAAGTTTAATCATTTTTTTTATTATCTCTTCCGCTATTGGGTCGAGGTTGAAATGGTGGAACATGTCTGCCAAGAACCCCTTCCTCTTAGGCTGCCCAATGAACAAAATTGGGTTTTGCCCAAGTTCATGCAGCTTAAATGTCTGCAAAAAAAAAAAGATTATAGCAAGTTAATAAAGATTACTAACAAATTAGTTGTTTTATTCATATTTATCAGTGATGTGACGAGCAAAAAACAGACAAAATGAACTTACAGACAGTTGGGCAGACTTGACAATTCTGCCAACATTCCTATTTTTTTTTTACTCCTGTGGCCCATCCAGACTGCTTTATTTTTTCTTTCTGCAGGTGGACCTTTCCACCTTGTGGAAGCAAGACAAGGCAGGCCCCACAGGTTTTTCGAGCCAAAGGGTTCGCCTCCCCACATGAGGGGCAAGCCTTCACTTTTGGCCTTGTCATTTTAACTAAAAAAAAACAACCAAACAAACAAACAAACAAAAAAACACAGTGTATATAACAGGTGTTCATCAAAAAAGTAGTATTTTGACAAGTGTAGCAATTTAGAGCAAATAGAGATAGGGATTGTGTACAGAATGTTTACCTAATACTAAGCCAATGAAAATGAACATTTTAAAATGCTAAACTTAAAAATGATTATAACACCATAGCGTGGATTTACAGTCATACAGTATCGTATTGTGCCACGGCTGTATTGTTTACTTTTTTTTTTTTTTTTTTTTTTTATGTTGCTTTATGATAAGTTGTGCTATATTATCTAGCATTAAATTACACAAATGTTTATTATGTGGTTATTAGCATGTATAAGACTTACTTACTTATTTTAATAGCTCCACGGACTTCCACAAACGGAAAACAGCAAATGCTGGTGGGAGATGGCGGGAACTGGGATAGGAGAGTCGTGGACGCTGACGTCATTTGCGCGGCATTATGAATATATTTTATGTATAAAATTTGTAATATTCCACGGACGGATATTTTACACAAGGGAGTAATAAAAGCGATGGGTAAGATTAATTAATAAAAATGTAAATATAAATTACAATCGATGAACCTGGCGCCTTACCAAACCAATGAACTATGGGAAGTGTAGTGTCGAAAATGACGATAACGGGGGGAGAAAAAAAAATCATGTTTAGTTGTTTAGTTTTGTTTTTAAATCACCACTAATAGAATTTACTGACAAAACAATATCATGAGAAATAGGCTACTTTTACAAACACTGCACAAGCCACTTTAAAAGCGTCAAGTTATTCGATGTTTTGAGAGTTCCGTGTCAGTGGTAACCATGGTAACTTCTTATAGTCAGTCAGAATCAATGGCCTACAAATTCTAGAATGATTCTCCGCTCGCTGTCTAATCGTGGCAGAGATAAGAGTCCTACTGCTATACGCGCTCGTGCGCGGCCGCCTCCCGTACGCCTGCCTCCAGCGCAGCGCCTCTTCCCGTGCACCGACCTCCCGTACGCGACCGCCATCCGTGCGCGCCCGCTTCCCGTGCGCGGCCGCCTCCCGTGCGCGGCCGCCTCCCGTACGCCCGCCTCCAGCGCAGCGCCTCTTCCAGTGCGCCCGCCTCCCGTGCGCGACCGCCATCCGTGCGCGCCCGCCTCCCGTGCGCGTCCGCCTCCAGTGCGCCCGCCTCACGAGCGCTCCCGTACGCCCGCCTCCCGTGCGCTCCCGTGCGCTCCCGTGCACTCCCGTCCGCTCCCGTCGTCGTCCACCCGCGCTGCGTTTCGTCCCGCGCGCGTGGCGGCCTTCCGTGCGCGGGTGGCTCTAAACCGGAACTATAACCAGGACTAAAATCAGAACTAAAACCAGGTTTAAACCAGGTCTTAAACCAGGACTAGAAAATATGAATAATATTTCGAACAAATATTGAAAATATTGTCTCAAAAAGAACAGCGCAACTCGTCACATTTCACCGCTGTGGGATTCTCCTTAAGATGAATGAAAAAACACTTCGCGTCATTGCTGGACGCAAATGGGCACTACTTTCGTTTTGTATTGACGCCAAAGGGCACTGACAAAATGTCACTTATTGACGCTCTCGGAGTGAGACTGTGTTGCATAAAACACTCAATATGTTTGAGGAGAAACGATTAAGAAAACTTGATAATGTAGACATAATTGTATTGTCGGAAGTAAGTGTGATTTAAACCAAACTGCTCATGTAACTTTTAGGGGAGATCTGTCGTGTGCCCTATGAGATGTTGTTGCTTGTTTAGAATGTTCTTTTACGCATCAACAAACTATCTATAGAGGCAATTGAATAAAAGTTATAGTAGTAGTAGTAGTTAGTAGTAGTAGTAGTAGTAGTAGTAGAGGAGGAGGAGGAGGAATAGTAGTAATAGTAGTAGTAGCAGTAGTAGTATAGTAGTAATAGTAGTAGTAGTAATAGTAGAAGTAGTAAGTAGTAGTATATAGTAGTAATAGTAGTAGTAGTAGTAGTAGTAGTAGTAGTAGTAGTAATAGTGTAGTAGTAGTAGTAGTAGTAGTAGTAGTAGTAGTAGTAGTAGTAGTAGTAGTAGTAGTAGTAGTAGTAATAGTAGTAGTAGTATTCTGTCCTCACGATGGCGTCTCTACCAGGGCTAGACAGATAGCGAACATACAAAAAAGAGAGTCCACACGACCATATCTGGCTCGACATTAACGGTTGTCCGCTGGTCCGGGGCAACTAAAATTTTTTCCGGGCAAGTACTCTCCTCTGCCTAGTTGCCCGAGCGGGCAAGTGAAAATAAAGCGACACAAATCTAGTCCCCCAGTAATAACTATTTATTTGGTTGATAAACAAAGCGACGGGTTGTCCGTTCATAACGCATTTTTTTCATTTCCGTGAAAGGAACAGATAAGTCCAACCTTTTGAACTGCCACGAAAAACGGCCGCGGGTGACAAGTGCTCACTTCATGCGCGCTGCTGTGCGCATCACAGTCAATGTTTTGTCTTTCCCACTGACTGTAGCATCTTAAATAAACGGACGTAGTATTACGCTGCCTCCTGACCACAATCTTTGCCCAGTCAATCAAAAATGTCCCTTAGTGCGGACCGTGCCACTCCACCCCTTTTTTTTGTCTCTCATTCTACCGTCACATCTCACATATGTAGGAAAACTTCATGACGCGTCGGAATGAAAAGCGAACTCAGGGCTAACCCAACTCCAAACATTTGCCATATATTTATCAAGCCTACTCACTAATCTCAGTAATTAGTTAAAAATGCATAGGTTATTATTATAGCCCGTGCTTTGGGAAATAACATTCACTGGGACGGTACCGGGGCGTCTCCAAGCGATACGTGCGCTCTGTGAGCGGGCGTGTCACCGGAGGACCACGCCGCGTGACATTAAACCTGCTTCTCTACTTCAGTCCTCATGAGCCCTGTACGTGCACACTCCCACATCGTACTGAGATCCATTCATAGAGAACAGTCCTACCTGTGCGCCTCCAGTTGCGTCGCTCCAGTGCCACGCGCGTAAATCCCGTGTTTTCTTAACCTATTACGCAGCGACGAGAAGCGCGAACAAGGACCTAAATTTAAGCAGTCCAAACTAACTCCACAGTAGAGGACCGAGATATGTAGTAGTTTCTTTATAAGTGCGCAAAGGGTATAGTTACAATTTATGTTTTTATGCAAATTAATGGCCAACTGATTGTAAATAAACGCACAACTGATTGTCACGAAGACTGACCTGCGCTTAAGTTTCGCTTTTGTTTTCTCGTTTTCTGCACTTTATATAAAAGGCAGCGCATAGAGCATGTGCTCTTACTTGATTAATAACTTTACGCTTTTTCTACTCGGAGGAGGACGGAGGAGAATTATGGAGAACTTTAGGCAGATTCGTTTGGATACATCTTTACGCACACGCGCTCCACGCTGGATATATTTACCAATGAGGAGCAGGGTTTTGCGGAGTTTTGGTTCATATTATGTTTGGCTTAAATTTGACGCGGACACTGCAGGCTGTGGATTTATTATTACGCACTTTGGCTTTGAGACTCTATAAACGCCCCGCACTGGAGACTGGGGTTTTCGGTGGATACAAGTTTCACGCTGCACCCTTGTTTCTTCAGCTCTTCTGTTTTTACCGGTAAAAGACACACTGCACTTAGTTTGGACACATGTAGGACATGCTCAACATGTTAAACATGAGCGCTGTTTGTGCAGTACATTTGCGCAGAGCGCAGTACTGACGCGTGAACACCTGCACTACTGATAAATTGAAGTGAAATTAAAGTGTGTGTTGGCTTATTGACGCGGGCATTTAATGAAAGGGACCGAAAGTGGGCACCGAGCGAACTTTTGTTTTTTTTAATACCAGTTTTTTAGTACTTACCAGTACTTACCGGGCCTTTTCGGTCGATGCCTACTGAAACAGAGTTTCGATACCCAACACTATCTGCACAGACTATAGGCTCGTGCAAGTCCAGTTCTATGGTGTACTGGCACTAAAAATATTTGAAATGTGAAATGTGCAAGTGAAAGTCGGTTTCTTAACCTGTGGGCGAGGGTCCAAGGGAAGGACTTATAAGGCTATATATTTGTGAAGCTCATGAAGCCAAAATTAACTTTAAACATACAGAAAGTAAATCAGATGTAATGCAAAGTAGTGTAACTCCATTACATATGAGGGACAATACTGCATTACAAAATGTTACACTGCAAAAGGCAATATGTATCACAGTTTCAGATTAACTTGCTCATTGGTCCCAGCATTGGTCCCAGATGACAGCAACCAGGACTATAGATGTTCTGTCATATTTATCTATAATCACATTAGTTCTAGTTGTCACCTGCCCATATGGGTCTGACAACCTGAGACACGTTGAGGCACTCTTAGACTCTGAGTGGAAACAAGAGAGAACAATTTAATGAAAGACCAATGATAATCGTTTTCATCTCATATACATACAAATTTTGGACACACTTTTTCATGTATGCTTCTTTTTTTCCCTCCATATTTACACTGTGGAGTGTAGTGTGAAATGATTTTAAACTTGTTTTATATATTTGAGATTCTGCCCCACTCTCTCAACCATTTAGTCATTGTGGTCATGTTATGTTGGTATTCATATGAAAAAAAAGTTTTTATATGCCTGTGCTAGAGTTCTAGTCAAGACTGCATTTAATTGAGGCCAAGACCTGTCCGAGACCTCAGGGTCCTGAGACCAGGACAAGACCAAGACCTCTGAGGGTTGAGACCAAGACCACAGCCCATCGAGACAAATCATGACCATCTTTGTCATTTTTGACATTTATTTGGATTTTACAGTTAATTTGCACATATATATCAATGTTTTTAGAAATCTATCTCCATTTTATCTGATAAATGTTAATTTAAGATTAAATTAAGAAAGCAAACTGTACTGTACTGAACACTGCCCTTTTTTAGACCCACCCACAGTTTGAGAACCCTTTTTAAGAAAACTTCCATTGGTATTTTACACAAAACTGCTTCAAAGTGAATAAGTGGGTAGATTTTTAAACCCGTTTTGTCAAGTTTCTACTGGAGTTACATTCACTTGCTGGTTTGCAGTGGGATTTACCACATTTACCAAACGCATGCGTGACAAACATAGATGCATTTTGAGCCTTTTATTAGGCAACTTCAACCACATGTAGTAGTAGTGCTCTTTGTGCAACAATTGTAACATAAATTTGGATTCGTTTTAGTATTATTTTTCTAATCTGTGGGCATTGAAGAGGGAGCCCGTTTGTGCTATATGCAGGGAGGAGCGAGGAGCGCGAAAAGAAGGAGCAGATGACGTGAGGCAGATGGGCAGGTAGAATGTTTTAAAAAGTTTATCCTGCCCTGTGATACATGCTGGTACGAGAGGGTACACGCTGTTGCGGACAAGGCACGCGCGCTGGGGGCGCTCCACACAAACGCACAGGCTGCAGCGAGACACCCCGCACGCCCCCGCACACCGGTACAAGTTTATTGCCGATAGCAGTGGCCGTAATGAAATATGATCGCACCTGTCTAAAGTCAGACCTCGAGTCCGAGACAAGACCGAGTCCAAGCGCCTTCAAGACGAGTCCAAACGTGGTCAGTCCGAGACGAGACAATAACTCGTGTAACCTCGCGAAACCACAGCCGTGCGTCAACGCAAGGCGGTTCTACCGGCAGCTTGCAGCAGGAAGTACACGCGCAGCTCTGACTCTGTGTTTCTCAATGAGAAGACGATCAAATTTGACTGGGCGCGTTTAGCCGCTTGTATCAGGTTCTACAGTTAAACTAACAGCTGAACACATTTGTATTTACCTTCTGTACAGCTGACCACGGCAAAAGCCACGATTTAAAAAAGTAAATTTTAAAGCTCTTATTAACAGTCTTTCTGACCTGGGCCCTTTTACATGACACAGATCTTGCCCCAGGAGCACGTTGTCCTGACGGTAAAGGCACAAATACAACCAAAGAATTCATGCTCTGTGTATTTTGATGGGGATACGTGTAGAGTGTCAAAAAATAGGATGGATCCTATTCTGAAATCTACGCGTGCAGGACGCGTTGCTCCATACGTGCGTCTAGCACCTGCAGTGAAGCCGTCCTCATTCACTTTCCATGCATTCTAAAAGTTAAAACGTCCAAAAGTTGCAGTTTTTACGCTCGCATAGAGCGAAATGTACGTGCAGTCAAGCCAGGCCCTAACAGCTGAACAGACTTGTATCACCTTCTGTACAGGCTGACCAGGGCAAACGCGAGGATTTCAAAAGCAAATTTTAAAGCACTAATTAAACATATTTCTGGACATGGTCTTTTCACAGGACACTGTGGCCATACGGCTGTGTAAAAGCCTGATCCCGTCAGATCTCAGAAGCTAAGCAGCTGGGCCTGGTAGTACTTGAATGGGAGACCGCTAGGAATTCCAGGTGCCACAGTGGGTCGTTGTGTCCTTAGGCAAGACACTTCACCTGCATTGCTAGTATGAAAGAGGTGTGAGCGTGAGTGATGGTGGTGGTCGGAGGGGCTGATGGCTCAGATGGCAGCCTCGCTTCCGTCAGTCTGCCCCAGGGCAGCTGTGGCTACAGTAGTAGTTTACCACCACTGAGTGTGAAGTGAATGAATAATGAACTGTAAAGCGCTTTGGGGTATCTTGAAGACGCTATATAAATGCTATCATCAATCAATCGCACAGATTGCCCGGGGCATGTTGTGCTGAGCAGCCTAAAAAAAGTCTAGGTACTACGACACTAGCCTGCACATTTTAAATTATATAATTAACTGGCACCATTTTGTTTTCCGGGCAAGTAGTCTGGGGTCGGACAGAAAAAATTATAGCACTTCCCGGTAGTACTGTAAATGCTTAATGTCAAGCCTCATATGGAAAAGACTTGTCTTTACGGACGTTTATTTCCACATTTGTCTCTTTGTCTTTTTCTTTTTTCCGTTTTTCCTTTTTTGTAAAACTGCAACAAACACACAAAAGATGTGTATTAACAAATCGTGCATGTTACGACAAAAATAAAAGCCCCACTACCCAGCCCAAACACAGGACGGAGCTAGCAAAGAAACTAGCAATAAGCAACACCGCGAATGCGCCAAAACCACCGTTCCAACCTTCAGATATTTATAACAATACAAGAAAACAATATTATAACACAAAACAAGCCAAACTTACGGACAAAGATGCCCCAAGGCCGAAAACAGAGACGTATTCTGTCAGACTGCGAACCGATCACGCTTGTAAGTGAGCACGTGCGGTAGAAAAACAAAACTTAAAAACCAAAGGCGTCCACTAGAGGGCGGCAATCAACTTTATAACAAATAAAGTATTAAATGGGTCAACAGTACACTCCCCGCCTGGTATATTAATGAATATACCACTATTTAACCTTTATCCCCATTTTCAGACAAAAGTACAATTACATCAGTAACAGGTCTCATATACGTCTTAACAGAACCTTGTTTTACAATCTTGACTTCAAGTTTTCTTACCCTTTTGTCATCACTGGGAATAGCCTTAACTACAATACCAACAGGCCATTCATTACGTTTGATTTGAGTGTCTTTTAACAAAACAACATCACCCTCTTTTATGTTAGGTTTTTCTGCTTTCCATTTTCGTCTTGCTTGCAGAGTGGTGAGGTATTCCTGCCTCCACCTTTTCCAGAAACAATCGGCAAGCCCCTGAACTTGACGCCACTGGGCTTTGTAAAGGTCTTTGAGTTCAAAATTCCCCGGAGGTGATAACACTGGACTGGCCTTCTGAGTGAGAAGCATTGCAGGTGAGAGGATTTCCAGTGTTTCAGGATCTGTAGTCACAGGGACCAAAGGCCTGGCGTTCATTATGGCCATGACCTCAGCCATAAGAGTGACCAATACCTCATGTGTGAGACGACTGTTAGAGTTTTTCAAAAGTAAACTGTCGAGAATGTTTCGAACTAGTCCGATCATCCTCTCCCACACCCCTCCCATGTGAGAGGAATGCGGGGTGTTGAATGCCCAAGTGCAGCTTTGGTCCTGTAAGAAATTCTTGATTTCTGGATCTTCAGAGTTGATTCGCAACTCCTTACAGGCACCGATAAAGTTTGTACCTTGGTCTGACCTAAGGCGTTTGACTGGTCCCCTGATTGACAAGAATCGTCGGAGAGCGTTTATGAAGCTGGAGGTGGACATTGACTCGACAACTTCTATATGCACTGCCCTAGTACAAAGACATGTAAACATCACTGCCCACCTTTTGCTCTCAGCACTGTTTGACCTTGTGCGGCGGGATGTGACATTCCAAGGTCCAAAAACATCTAAACCTACGTAAGTAAATGGCGGGTCAATGGTAAGCCTATCAGCAGGTAAAATTGCCATTTTTTGTTCCTCTAGACGACCCCTTAGTTTCCTACATGTGACACATTGGTGAATTATGCGAGAAACCAGTCTTTTAGCCCCTAGAACCCAAAGTCCTGCGGTGCGCAGAGCACCCTCCGTAAACTGACGTCCCTGATGAGCTACTTGGTTGTGATAGTGTCTGACTAAGAGAACTGCTAAATGATGAGAACCTGGGATAATCAAGGGGTGTTTTTCTAGTTCAGAAAGATCTGCTGTTTGCAAACGTCCCCCAACCCTTAACAAACCTTCACTATCAATAAAGGGATCAAGTTTTTCAAGGGGACTGTGCGAGGATATCTCTTTTCCCTCAGAAAGTCTTTTGATTTCCTCTCTAAAGATCTCCTGTTGAACACATTTGATAACAACTGTCTTTGCTTGAGAGAGATCTGTGGAGTGTTTATCACAGTGGTCCGTAGGTATGACCTTTGAAAACGACCTTGCCATGTGAATGAGAGCTTGCATTCCCCTAACCAAGGATTTCCAGGTTGAGAAACGCTCAAATCTGTGTGAGCCAAGCTTGTTCTCCTTGACGTTTGTTGCTAAAGTGGTCACTTGAGGACGGATTTCCATGTCCACTGATGGATCCACAAGATCAAAACTTTCAGGCTTATCACGTTGCTCAGTATTGACCTTTAAGAACAGAGGACCAGAGAGCCAGGTTGTGTATTGCAGTTGTGATGCGAGAACGAGCCTGGTACCATGGTCTGCTGGATTTTGGTCTGTGGCCACATGATGCCACTGGTCGGGTGTGGTTGATCTGCGGATCTGGGCAACCCTATTAGCTACATACACATAGAATCGACGAGTGCTGTTGTGAATGTACCCAAGAACTATCTTACTGTCAGTATAAAAGTCGACAGCTTGAAACTCAATGTCACTTTCCTCGATGATTATCTGAGCGAGTTCGACTGCTAAAACAGCTGCGCACAGTTCTAGGCGTGGGACTGTGTGGGCAGAAGATGGCGCTAGTTTAGATTTACCCATCATATACCCCACATGGCACTGACCATTTGTGTCAACAACCCTGAGGTAAGCTACAGCTGCTATTGCCATTGTTGAAGCATCTGAAAAAATGCATAGTTCCCTTGTTTGAGTATGTGACAGTGAAATTGGTACAAAGGGTCTGGGGATTTGGAGACCTTCAAGAGCAGTAAGTGATTCAGTCCATCTGGTCCACTCTATCTCCCTGTTTGTTGGTAGAGGTTCATCCCAGTCCTGTTGTTCTAGAGTTAGCTCCCTGTACAGTGCTTTGCCCTGAATTGTCACTGGGGCAGCGAACCCTAGGGGGTCATATAGGCTGTTTACAACAGAAAGTATGCCTCTGCGGGTAAATGGCTTAGTATCTTTTCCCACTTGGAATGTAAAAGAGTCATTTTCTAAGTTCCACCCAAGCCCAAGACTTCGTTGAAGAGGCAGAGGGTCCACATCCAGATCTAAATCCTTAAGATCTGCTGCTCGCTCCTCTAGTGGAAATGCATTAGTGACCTGACTGACGTTTGAGGCGATTTTGTGAAGCCGTATGTTTGATTCAGCCAGCATTTTTCTTGCTCGAGACAAAAGTTCAATAGCTTGGCTCTCATTGGACACA